TTGTAACAAACATAAGAAAACAGTGTTTTGAGTTGAAGTTGACCAACTGCTGCATAGAAAATATGCTAACATACAACAGTCAAGTTTAAGCCTGTGCATAGAGAAGATAAAGCACTTATGGTAACTGAACACCTGACCTCAGGTGATCTGCCCACCTCAGCCTCCCAAAGTGCAGAGATTACAGCCGTGAGCCACTGTACCTGGCCAGGATTCTATTATTCATCTTTATATACCTGACTCACTGCATAGTGCTTGACGGTCAATAAGTTTGTTGAGTATGTGAATTTACACAATAAATTCCCCCAAAACTTATTTCCCTTAGGTCATAAAGACTCTTTCTCCTATACTTTCACAACATTAGCAGGCCAGAAGAGTTTATGTTCTGACAATCTGACCCAACATTATTCTCTGATGTCATTTTATGCATAAAGTAGTTGAGGCCTAAAGAAAAGTCAATACATTCAATCAGTCAACAACACTATGAGGTATTAGGAAGATGACCAGCAATTCTAACTCTTATTTGGGTTTTTAGAACAAATTAAAATATTTCATTGTTTAAACATGAATAATAATTTTATTTTAATAAATTATTCCCTTTTATTAAATAAAAGTTACAAGATAATTAAAAAAGAAACATCACTTTATTTGTAAGGCCTTATTTAAAATGGCAGGAGAAAAGTTTCACAGGTTGAAAACTTTTTATTCTATTTTAGTAATCACTGCTATTAAAAATGAGTTAGAGCTGGGCACAGTGACCATGGAAGCTGAGGCAGGAGGATCACCTGAGGCCAAGAGTTTGAGAACAGCCTGGGCAGCACAACAAGACTCCATTTCAAAAGAAAAAAAGTTGTTGAGCAATCAGGTGAGTAGGAAAAAAGAATAATTTTAAGTGATAACAGACTTCTATTTTAACTGTCTCTTAGACATTTCCTTGTTTTGATGAAGGTGAGCTATAGCTGGTAATCAGAATCTTATGTCACTTTCTTTGCTACCTACTGAGTCATTTAAGAAAAGTTTTGTTGGAAGAGAAAAGGTGTTGCCTAAAGTAACTTTGAAAATATGTTTTGACTGTGTACTGTAAGGTTAAAGATGAAGTGTACTCCAGTAGGTAAACTTAACATAAATATGCTAGGTTAGCAATTCTGAAACCACTTTACATGTGTACTAGGGCTGAAAAAAATAGGGTGCAAATTATAATGAAAGTTAGGTTTCAAACTGGCAGAGAAAGACGTTACAAATAAACAAAAGGGAAAAGCTAGAATGAACCCATGGTACTGGATTAGGAGTTGTAGATAGCCTATCAACTCCTTTTATTTTAATTATATACAGAAAGATACAGAAATTATTACAGATATGTGTGTATACCTATGTTAGTCCACATTCATGTATTTCCTAGCTCTGTTCACTGAGGTCTAGAAGCCATGACATCCCGGTAACAAAAGCACGTTCAGCACTCAAATCTTGGATTGTAAATGCCATCTTCCAATGAAAGGAACAGGGCTCAGGCTCTTTGGAGAAATGACTGATTCTAGGGCTGGGCAGAGAAAATACAAGATGAGCCTGAGGCATCGTGATAGTGCCAGAAAGTAAAAGCTAAAAAGAAAAAAAATGGGAGCATGCCAAAAAGACATGGCTCCCAATGGCCAAAGCCAGAACAATTTGAGCAACAAAACAAATAATTACTGGAAAGTACCACCAAAAAAATAAAATACATATCTACAAGTAAACACCAAAAAATGACTAAATTGATCTCCCTTACCTTAGAATTCCAAATAATGTACGTAGATACCCTTCCAAAGGAAGTGAAGCTTAACTCCTCTCCCTGTGAGCAATGTTGGACTTAACGATTTGCTTCCACAGAATAAAATATTAAATGAGAAAACAGTAACTTCATAATGGAGAAACCTGGCACACACCATTTAAACCAAGTGATCAAGGTTAAACTTAGCAGTGGTAAGTCATGTTGCTATCATGTACATATTGATATGAGAAAGTTACCTCACTTTTGTGGTATTCTTCCATGGAAAACTATAATCCCAGTATACTCATGGGAAAATATCAGACAAACCCAAATTAAGAGATGTTCTACTAAATATCTAACCAGTACTCTTTAAAAATGTCAAGATCTGCAAAAACAAGGAAAGGCTGAGAAACTGTTAAGAGTAAAGAGGCATAATAATTAAATACAATGTAATGTCTTAGACTGGGTCTAAAACCAGAAAAGGGGCATTAATAGAAAAACTGGTGAAATCCAAATAAAGTCTGTAGTTAATAACATTGTACCACTGTTAACATCTTAGTTCTGACAAATGTTCCATGTTTATATAAAGTATTAACATTAGGGGTAGTTGAATGGTATATGTGGGAATTCTCTGTATTAACTTGGCAACTTTTCTGTAAGTCTAAAATTACTCCAAGGTTTTTTAAAGTGTTGGAGTAAAGAATCCAAACATTCTACAGCTCTTACTAATTTTTGTATTCTATCTGTAAAAAAAAAAATTCATAATTCAAATATATCAATATGATCAAAGTCAGTGATACAGGAAGAAAACTAAATATAGCCATGTATCACATAACATTTCAGTCAACAATAGACTGCACATACAGTAGTGGTCCTGTAAGATAATAATGGGGCTGAAAAACTTCTATCATCTAGTATTTACTACACTACACTTTTTATAATTATTTTAGAGTATAATACTTATTTTTTTTAAAAAGTTAACTGCAAAAACTTCCACAGGCAGGTCCTTCAGGATTTATTTCAGAAGCATTGTTAACCTAGTAAATGACAGCTCCCTGTGTTATTGTCCCTGAAGACCTTCCAGTGGGACAAGATGTAGAAGTGGAAGACAGTGACATTGATGATCCTGACCTTGCATAAGCCTAGGCTAGTGTGTGTGTTTGTATCTGTCTTTGACAAAGTTTAACAAAGAAAAAAATTTTTAAATAGCTTATAAAGATATATTTTCATACAGCTGTACCATGTGTCTTAACTGAAATTACAAAAGTCAAAATGTTAAAACAAGGAAAAGTTCATAAAGTAAAAAAGTTATAATCAGCTAATTTATCAAAGAATTTATTATAAATGTAGTATAGCTGTGTAGTCTAAGTGTACACTGTTATAAAGTCTACGTTCTAGGCCTTCACATTCACTCATCACTTCCTCACCAACTGACCCAGAGCAACTTCCAGTTCTGCGAGCTCTGCTCATGTTAAGTCGCCCATTTTTTAAAATCTTTTAAACAGTATTTTTACTGTACCTTGTCTATGTTTAGATACACAAATATTTACCATTGTTTTCCAATTGCATAAAGTATTCAGTAACTTGCTATCCAGGTTGGTAGAGTGGGAGCAACAGGCTAGATATAGCCTACGAGTGTAGTAGTCTAGACTAGGTTTAAGTATATTCGATGATAGTCTCACGATGACAAAATTATCTAAAGGACACATCTCAGTACATTATCCCAGGCATTAAGTGATGCAAAGTAGTACAAAACACTAGTTTATTCTTAAGATGACCATCAGAAAAATTTAAATGCATTTTACAAGCTCTGCATAACGAAAGCTTCCACCATTTCTTTAAAAGTTACATTTAGATGAGTAGAAGCTATTCTACTATTAGCTACTGAAGAAGTAAGTAGAAAGATATTGTTGCCTAGTGGCATAAAATGCAGCCTTATTGATTTTTTGTGTGTGATAGATTACTCTGAAAGAGCATGAGGAATATGCCTAATTTTCCTCAACATTCCAGTATATATTGATCACTCTTATTTAAATTCATTCTTGACCTAATTCCATTTTCATAATTTACCAAATTTTATCTATTACTACAAGAATTTTTGTCTTGAAAAAGCTTAAGATTTAACATGGGAAAAAGAAAAAAGGAAAACATAACTAAATAGGTTTTAGAAAAACTATGTACTACTACAAGTATCTTTCATAGTTGTATAATCAGTAATTATGATGAAAAGATACTAAAAATAGATTAAAAATTGTCGTACCAATCCTAGGATTTTCAATTTTTTCAAGGTAGAAAACTGTATTATTTCACTTTTGAAATCAGACATAGATATATTAGAAAAATCAATTAAATTGACAATTATATAAAGCTGTAATTTTATGAGATAAAATCTTATTTAAAAGCGCCTTTACAAAAAAAACATGCAATAAAGTAACATGGGACACAGGAATCAATGACTTCACTTAACTCCCACAGCCCAAAACGTCTTGTTCTATCCACTAGTACAGAGATAAAAAAGATGAAATAAAGTATCTTGAAGAAACAGAGTATCTTGAGGACATAGTAAGACTTTTTCTTAAAGACTTAAAAGTACGATATTCTTTTACTTATATATTTGGTAAGAGTCCTCTTAAATATTGGAGGTGGTAGTGCAGACAACTGCCGTATCACATTACCAAAGGTAAAGAAGACTAATGTTTAAAAGGGCTTGGTCAAAGAAAGACAAAACCTTTACTTGTCATGAGTAAGGGATATTAACAATTCAGAAGGGAAAAACCTATAAAACTAGATATTTCAATTTATGCTTGGAGTTTAGAAATTACAGCTAATGCATTTTCTGACTTAACTAGAGCTTTTTGTATTAGGCAAGTTAAACATAAAAAAAGACAAGGACTATTTCAATTTTACAACTGAAAAGTGATGGAAAACAAATGTATAAAACTTACCTTTATAAAATATATTTATGATATACTTCCGATAACAGCAAACAAATTAAAAAATAAGAATTAAAGGCATCCCTTCTCTTATGCAGTTGACAAAAGTCTCCCTATATCTTTAGTTTCTGTAATCTCTACTAGGAAAAAATTTAGAGTAACTGTACATAAATCATATTTACATATAAGTATTAACAATAAATGCTATCTTTTAAGTTCTAACTGGCCACAAATGATTAATAGGTGTTTCTGAAACAGAAGTCTACTATCATTTGCATTAAGATAATACCAATCAAGTATTAAGAGTTAATAAGAATACACTTAAATTTGGTGCAAATTTAATTTTATTAAACCTTACAATGAATATTGTGGCATATGATTTTTCCATTGTGTGACAATTTATTAGCTGGCATCCTAATACAGTACTTCTTTTGGAAAAATACACAATGGGAACTGACAAAAGGGAGAGAAACTAGTTGTTTAGTGATACATGAGGGCAAAAAAAAAAAGAAAAAGAAAAAAAAGAAAATAATGATGACCAATTAGTTCGTTTCCTTAGTATCTAACTCTAAAATGATTAACGTTCTAGGCAATAATGCTGTTGTTACAGTGTACAAGAATACGTTATCATCTCATCCAATCTGCACAATTCTAAGAATAATTATAAAAATTATCATATCTGTAAATTCAGCCTAAGGTTCCTATTTGGGCAACATGATTTTTAAAGAGCTACTTTTCCCATATAACCTAAACAATTTTCCCAAATCATGGTAGACTGGGGTCTCTATACACATAAGGTAGTCACTTCACAAGTGAGCTATCACTTAATTTCAAATTCATAAAGGGTGCCAAATTATCTTTGATTTGGGTTTATACCTGTCAGATTTATGAATAAGAAAAATGACTATTTTTAAGTCCATAATCCATTTGTCGTCATAGACTGGCATCTAATCTGAGTAAAATTACCATTTCTTTTACAGAAATGATCAAAACAGTGGAACATCTAAAATTCAGCAGGCCCCAAACGGTTATTTTCCTAGAAATGTAATAAGAACTTACACATTAACTCCAGTCAATACCACCATGCTACAGTGTAGTTTAGTTTGACTCACGTGAGTGTAACAGGTTCATTATTAATATTTACTCATCTGTGGTTCAAAAAATAACACAAATTTAAGTATTTTATTATAATCCATCTCATAATTTTGGAAATACTTTCCGACAAAGGCTTTATTAGTGTCTAAGTTCACATTTATGAAACAATTTCCTCTAAAATAAAATAAAATCAGGGACAATTTTGAGCTATTAAACTGATTTTTCAAAACTTCCCAATGGCATCTGTGGAGATGGTAGAGAAGGAAGGGGAAATATATTCTAAGTGAAATAAGTCATTTCAGTTATCAAGACTGAGTTCTAAGCTATCTATTTTTAGTGGTACAAAAATGTTAAAGAAATCCTTATTTTACACTGGAGTTGTACAATTCAAGTTCAGCTGTAAAACAGTAAGATATGCGTGCCTTTCTCTAAGAGCATGTAAGCCCTCCTACCCAGCCCCCAAAGACGAGGAGGAAATTCTAAATCACTTAAAAATCCAATTGTCATCTTTTACCCCAAATTATTGAGATCTACTGATATAATTTACTATAATGGCAAAGTTTTCCTTTATAAAAATAGCTTATACATGTATAATTATTATACCACAAAGAGGCAGATGATTTGAAAATACTGATATTTGATATTTCTAGAATATTGGTCTAAATCACAAAGTATTCTTAATATATGTGACAATTCAAATATTTCATCAAATTTACTAGTAAGAGATAGTAAAACCTCTTCATCAAAACTCTGGAGAGCGTTCATTCATATCCCAATTTACCGTTTCTTAATGGTGAAATCGAATTTGCAACCTAGTAAAACGTGTAAGAATATCTTTTAAAAATTAAACCTCAATTATTTAACCAAAAAGTCAAATAATGTTCTCTTATTTACTACTCTTCATGACAATGTTTTTACTGACTAAAGATGACAAACCTAATGTGACTGTTTGCATTGATGACTTAAATAGAGTGACCCTAATCCTCAGAATAAAATGTCAACACAAAAATCCAAGTGAGTAATCCAGCTCATTAAACTCACAGGTAAACTGAGTTTTTCTCAAATCAGTAAGGAGCTTTTTATTCAGAACAACTTCATTAAGACATTTGCAGGGCAAATATGCCATCATAAATTTTATTCTGAAATACAATAAAGTGCTGAATGATAATTACCTGAATCTTTTTTAGTACTTTTCACTTATCTTAAGTTAAAAGAGCCCTTTCTGTGGCATTAGCAAATCTGTGAGAGAAAGAGAAAGAAAGAGAGAAAAGACAATGAGAGAGAGAGAAAGGAACAAAGGAAGAGAAAAGAAAAGCTAACTTCCAGTAAGGGAACAGGAAGCACTGCAACCTTTCATGTTTAACTAGGGCGACAAATAATTGAGACCAAAGTAATCAAAGTAATTCATGCAAGTTATCTTTAAAGGTATACGTAAGCTTGAAGAAAGAAAGAACACTGTTACTGACCTTTTGATATTGTGGCAGTAAATTGCATACTAAAATACCTTAATTATCCTAGATGCCTAGATCTGGCTTGGCAAGCATCATGCCACTGACATGCTTTAGCTCTTTTTGTAACTAAAAGTGATTTGCAGTTCAATTACTGAATATTTGAATGTGACTCATTAAGCTGTGTGATAAACTTTGAGGTTAAATTTAAGCAAATTCTCTACACCTAGTCACACCATCAGCACAAGCAGGACAATGCTGGAGCAGCATGAAAGGTGGGTCACTTTAAAAAGATTCTTCCTTTTACTACATGATATATTAAGATGACAGACCTAAATTTCAACTGGGTTAATGAGTTAGAATAGATCTGTTTCCCAAATTTAGCACACAATAATTTCAGTGGATTAGAGAAAGAAACCTCGGTTGTGAAGAAAATGAAGAAAAAAAACAAACAAAAAAGCTTGAGCTAAAATAGCTAACCTGCAGCTCTAAAAATTGTCATGCTACAGAGTACTTTAAAAAAAAACTAACTTTGTAACAAACATAAGAAAACAGTGTTTTGAGTTGAAGTTGACCAACTGCTGCATAGAAAATATGCTAACGTACAACAGTCAAGTTTAAGCCTGTGCATAGAGAAGATAAAGCACTTATGGTAACTGCAAATGGTAACGAGTCCTTAAAGTTTGTACAACCTAGCATGGGTCCATAAGGAAAAGTAGAAATGGTTAGGACAAAAAATAAAGTAGAAACAGGAAGGAAACTTGAGAAGAGAAGGAAGAATCAGGAAAAAAAGACTTTCAATTGTATAAAATTCACAAACCAGTAAAGTATAAAGACACCATGGAAAAATGGTTAACTCTGCCCCAAACATCCAACAGTAAACAAAACCAGAATGAATAAGCCTTTGGCAGACAATTTTAGAAATTTGAATATGATGTTACATTTCTCAGTAATTCACAAACAATATATTATATGGTATATTTATATTAAATACTGGGAAACCAATCTTGTAAATTTGATGCTTATAATGGTTTAGCCAATGAGAGCATGATATCAATCAAGCTAAATGAATGCTGGTGTTATCACAACAGTGCTCATTTATGAAACAACTGTTACCAATTCGTGCTTTAACAGTGCTAAAATACAGTCAAATTATCATCTATGAAGTGAAACAAAGGTCTCTAGCTTTTCTGGGATGTGCCCTTTATAATATATTCTATGATTCACTATGACACGAGCAGCAAGACACTGCAATGTGGTATGATTTATAGGCTGGATCAAATTTTTAGCTATTTCTTTCTCATCCAGCAAGTCACTAGCAGTTTGTTTGTGCAAGTTTGTGGCATCAAAATGTGCACCTGATTTAATAAGGAGATTCATGATGCCTGGATGGTTGTTAAGAGCAGCGATATGTAGGGGACTGTTGTCATCCGAGTCTCTGACGTTCACATCAGCACCACATTCTATCAGTATCGCAGTAACTTGTAGAGATGGAAATTTACAAACAGGGTACCGCCCTACACATGTAGTATTCTTGTCCACAGCCAGATGAAGAGGGCTGAAGTTATTCTTTCCCCTTGGATGCAGCTTAAGAAACCTGTATATAGTCTGCTTTTTGAAATGGTCCTGTTCTAGAGTACAAGGAACTTTCTCTAACAAGCAAATTAAGTGCAAAATAATAGAAAGAGCCTTATTTAACTGTAACGGGTCAGCGGGACACTGAGTTTGTTTGATAGCTCGCTCTATTTCAAGGACGCTTTTGCAAAGTATGCCCATAAGATCATCAAATGTAACAGTAGTACCCAGCAGGCCTTTAGCCCTATCCTGTAGCATAAAGGAAAATAGTTCTGCAAAAGATAATAAGCTGCTGGCGGTCATTGGGCTTAAAGGATCCAAATTGCTCTGCTGCATATCCAAAGCATACTTCCATAGGTTGATGCATCGTTTGAAATTTCCAGAGTCTGCATAGACAGCACCTCTATATCTAATATAGTAAGAGGTATCAGGATGAGAAGGACCAAGAATACGTTCTCTGATTAATAGTGCCTGCATTCTCATCTCATCAGGATCAGCAATAAGACCTTCTAGCTCTTCTGCACTGTTCACCTCCTTGGCATAATCATAAGCCATTATGAGTGTCTGTGGCACTGGTTTACTAATAATATTAGTCCTATCACTGTACCTCATGTTCATTGCCTTTTTCCAGTATTTCAAAGCCCCAAGGAGATCTCTTTTTTTGTCTACAAATGTAGCTCCTAGAAGCTCTAGAGCGTTAATACGTTCTGTCTTGCTGGTCTGTGCATGGTGTGTCAGAAAATCCACAATATTTGTGTGACCAGTCACACTTGCTGAGAGAAGGGGAGTCATTCCATAACCATCCTTTTCCATCTTGGCACAATACATAAGAAGCATCTTCATGATGTCCAAACTTCCAGATTCTGCACAATCATGCAATGCAGTATTACCTTAAAGAGAGAAAAAGAAAAAAAAAAAGAAATAACATACATTGAGGGACCAGGATATAATGTAATATGTATATGTACTTTAGAACCTAAAGAAAAGCAGGCAGCTCTAAGCCCGTAAGTAGGACATACTTGGTTTACAAATAAGAAAAAAATTCCCCCAGCACCTAAAACTAGCGTCTGATATTAAACTTGTTGAATAAAGGACATGACCAAGTTAGGTATAAAAACACATCCAAAGTCACCAGAAGAAACTCAAACTAATCCATGGTCTCTTGGTAATTTCCATTAATGTTTTCAAGTGCATATTCTATGACTTAAAAATGGATAGAATACCAATAACCAGCTATTCAAGTCACTGAACTTCAGGTCAGTTTCCACATTTATATACAAGGAATTGGTCCTTTCTTGTTTTAGAGACCAGGTCTTGCTATGTTGCCCAGGCTGGTTTTGAACTCCTTGGGCTCAAGCAATGCTCTTGCCTCAGTCTCCCAAAGTGCTGGGATAGCAGGTGTGAGCCAGCATGCCTGGCCAGACTGGCCTTTGATATACCTAAGATTCTTCAGTTTGAGTCTAATAGTAGTCAGAAATTATTTTTTCAATGTTTAATTTTGATTGCCAAGTGAATTTCAACTGTCTTAGCCAATATTCTTGGTAACAAAGGATTGTCCCCAAAAAGCTCTCATAAGAAAAACAAATCCATGGAATTTGAAAAATATGTGGGTGGTTCAATATGAACCTTAAAAAGAGATATCTGAAGTGTCCTTTCATAATGGATTATTTCCTATTATAATTTAACTTTTTATATAAATTTACTATAAATTATAACTATAGCTGTACTAAATGTTCTAACACTGTCCTTTTTTTCCCACACACAGATTAAAACTGACCACAGGCACTGGCACATTAGTAAAAGCCCATATGAAACATATTAAGACATCAGAAACACCAGGTATTTCAGCTAAGTTTAATGATAAACATTTTACTAATCGTCAAAATAGAAATTATCATGCCAACCTCTGGTATTTACATACAACATTTACACAGAATTTCAACACTCAGTCATTTTAGGCATGTCTATAGAAAAGAGGTAGCACAGCAGGCTGAGACTGAGTCCTTAGAAAGACCTTCTTGCAAGGTTGGACCTTTGGCTGGTAGCTGGGAACTTGGCTGGTAAACAGTTCTTTATACTGATATAAAACTTTCCCTAAATGATAAGGGTGGCTTACTGTAACTAAACTGTTTGTACCAACAAGGCAGTTTGTACTGAATGCCTGGTTTCCTTCTGGGAGTCTAAAATTTTGGACATGAGCTAGGCAAAAGGTACCTATGTGACCAGCCCCCAGTAAAACTCTTGAGCACTGTCTGTCATGGGCTTCCCTTGGCAGAAACATGACACATATGTATTTACATTACAGAAGACTGTGCTCTATGTGATCCGTCATGAGAGGAATAGAGCATAATAATGCCTATTCAAACATTTATCTACACCTCACCTGAGCCTTTACCCTCATGATTTAGCTGCATGTCCTTATTACATTACAGCAATAAATGTTACTTAGGAGTACAGTTGTATGGTGAGTTACCTCCAAATATGGGGGTGGCTTTGGGGATGCCCAACACAGCATGGGTACCAGAAAGTATTTTATTTTATTTTATTTTATTTTATTTTATTTTTATTTTTATTTTTTTGAGATGGAGTTTTGCTCTTGTTACCCAGGCTGAAGTGCAATGGCGCGATCTCGACTCACCGCAACCTCTGCCTCCTGGGTTCAGGCAATTCTCCTGCCTCAGCCTCCTGAGTAGCTGAGATTACAGGCACGTGCCACCATGCCCAGCTAATTTTTTGTATTTTTAGTAGAGACGGGGTTTCACCATGTTGACCAGGATGGTCTCGATCTCTTGACCTCGTGATCCACCTGCCTCGGCCTCCCAAAGTGCTGGGATTACAGGCGTGAGCCACGGCACCCGGCCAGAAAGTATTTTAAACTTGAATACTTCAAGTAAATCGACTTTATAACTAAAGTTAGAAAAAAACAAGTTATCATATTAAAAATTGGGTTTTTTCCACAAGATTATCCTGTTTTTTTCTATGATATCTACAAGGACTATATAATTATTCTGACCCAAGATTTCAATGGTCTACAATGAAATAGTGTTTGATAAAATGTTTTAACAATGTGTAAGCTAACCAATCACTGAAAGAGCCCAGAACTTCTGACTATTGATGTTCATTTATTAAAAATAATTTCAATTAAACGTGACTAGTATACCAAGTATATTTTAAACACTCTTGTATTGAGAACCCCTACTATTCCCTGTATTTTACTAAGAAATAGACAATGTAAGAGAAATTTGAATATAAAGAAATGGCTTAGATGGCACTCTTCTCTATTCAGAGTAGCACAAAATCAAGAATAAAATGTAGCAAAAGCCAATCTAATGAACTGTATTTCTGTATTCGTTGAAAAAATACAGACTATATTTATTTTGAATACACACACATACCAGGAGAAAAGAAGTAGTTTTAAAAAAATGAAGGATAAGGATTTCACAACCAGTAATGGCAGATACCTGTAATGTGATCACCCTCCCACTAACAACTAAAAAAGCTGAAAAATGTATTTTTAAAAATCTGCTTGACAGGATTTAAGAGATAACAATGGGACAATATGATGGAGAAGAAAGAAAACTAAAGTCAAATTCAGAATTTGAGGCAGCTGTCCCACAGTGGCCTCCACCAATTCTGGGAGATAGCTGAAAACCTGAGCAGAACTTCTGACAGCCTTGCAGGGATAGAGAGGGAAAGCAGAGCCTACAGCCTACTAAGAAAGGAACTTAGAAAATTCCCCATACTTTGGGTTAGAGCTCCAACTTTTAATCCTAGGGAGTTAAAGTTAACTGAGTTAACTGCAAATAGACTAGCTTTTACAAACACTGAAATCTAATTTAGAATCATCTCATTATTGAATTAAAATAATCCAGGATTGCTAGCATATGTAATTAAAAGCCAGAAGCAAATATAAATACTATTTAGAGAAAGATATTATCATACTAGGGTTCAAATTATTTATATTTTTCATATGTAATGCTTGGTATCCAATCAAAAATAATGAAAAGGAAATAAGGAACCATAACACAAAAAACAAAGAAAATAAACAGCTGACAGAAAAGCCCAAAAAGAGACCCAGATAATGTAGTTTATCAATGCAGATTTTAAAACAATAACTATGCTTAGCATATTCAAGGAGATTTTTTAAAATTGAGAATTCAACAGAAAACTAGAAACCAAAAATCCAAGTAAACATTCTAGAACTGAAACACTCTGTGGGCTTTAAAAGTGGATTTACACACAGCTGAATAGAGAATTAGTAACTAGAAAATAAGTCAGATGAAAAATACAGAAAGAAGCAGGGAGTTGTAAAAGAACAGAAAAGATGGAGACTATAAGATAAAGAGGGAACAATGTCAGAAGATTGTTGTTAACATACTCAAAACCAGAATTCTAGAGGAAGAAAATGGGACCCAAAGCAATATTTAAGAAGATAAAGTCCAAGAATTTTCAGAAGCTGATTAAAATTTAAACTGGAAATTCAGTAGGTTTTACAAACTCCAAGCAGGATAAATAAAAAGAAAAACACATTGACGTACAACACAGCAAAACTGCTGAAAACTAAGGATAAAGAGAAAAATCTTAAAACAAGAGAATGAATGGAAATTACCTATAAAAGAGCAACAATCAAACCAACAGCAAAGTTTTCATCAGGAACAACAGAAGCTAGGAGACATGGAATGATATTTAAAAGCACGAAAGAACACTAACTGCCAACTTAGAATTCTATACCCACATCAAGAATAAATGTCAAATAAAGAACCCTTTGAGGAGAGAAGGAAATGAAAAGGAAAAAAATTAAGATATTTATTACCAGCAGCTCTAAATACTATATGGTGTCCTTTAAGAAAAAGGAAGATTAGCCATGTGGAAGTCTGGAGATATAGGCAAAAACATCAACAGAAAGTAGAAAAAATAAATACTGATTTTAAAAATAACAGTATCTTGTAAGGCTTGAAATACATACATAGAAATAAAACACTTGACAGCAATAACTTGGAAGTTAGGAGGGTAATTGGTGTTAACTTGTTCTAAGATCTCTTTGTTGGAAAGATATAAAACTAGAAATTTATGCTAGCCTTTGGTAAGTCAAAGCAGTGCTGTCTAGAATGACTACTAAAATAATAGAGGGTATGCACATAACTACATTTTCTCTGATATAGAGAAAAAACTGAAATAATAATCCAAAAGGTAGCAAAAAAAAAAAAAAACCAAGGAACACAAAACAGACACAACAAATAAAAATCAGAAAAATACCCAGGAGATAAAAATCCAAAAATATCAGTAATTACATTAAATCCAAGTAAAGTAAATGGTCCCATTAAAAGACAAAAACTGTCAGACTGAAGATAAAAGAAAACTCAAAACACACTGCTTACAAGAGACACACCTTAAATATATGGGTAGAAAATGATCTTTATAAAAGTGAAAGTTTGGGGAAAAAATACTCTTCGCAAAAACTAAATATTAAGAAGCTATCTGATAATAAAATATGAAAGTAGATGTTAATGCAAAATACATGATTAGCAATAAAAGGAAATACTTTATAATTATGTAAAATTCAAAATATACAGATATAATAAGTCTAAACTTGTTTTCACCTAATAACATAAAATTAAGTTACATAAAGCAAAAATTGACAGAACTACAAGGAAAGCAAACAAATCTGCAAACATTAGTACATCTAAACATATCTTTCTCAGTTTGGAAGACCAAAACCAGTAAGGATAAAGATTTGATCCTTATAAACTTGATTTAACTGGCATAAATAAAAAGCCTTAAAAAATAGCTAAGTTTCCATCTGAAGAAGTTACAAGGAAAAACAGTAAACTAAATTAGAGAAAGTAGAAGCAAACAGTTAAAAAAAATGAAAAAGAAAAAGGGATAAGTA